CTGGGCCCCTCAGGCACATCCTGGGCCCCTCAGGCACATCCTAGACACCTCAGGCACATCCTAGGCCCCTCAGGCACGGCTTGGGCCTGGGAGAATGGCCTGCATCATCTCTGTTTCTGCCTGCCCTGCACACAGCCTTCTTCTGCTATCATTCCCAAAGTCTTCCCCACACCCACTCATTCAGATGACATTTGAGTGGGGCTGGCCCTTGACGCGGCCAGTCAGTGCGCTCCATCCTGGGAACACCATCATCATTCAGTCATGTGCACATTTTCCGAACCAGGCCAGTAAGACTCAGTCTTGGTCTATACACGGGATAGCAATTGCATATCCACATGTCCACCCAAGCCCCTGACGCACAGGCCAGCTGCATGGGTGTGTGGGTGCACACCCCTCACAGTGCCACAAAGCCCACTGCCCTGTCCTGAGTGCAACGTTTTGCTGCCACTGTTTAAAAATTTTCCATCACTTTTTGACCAGAGATCTCACATTGTCATGTAGCACTGCACATCCACATGCACGTACACACACACACACACACACACACACATGGTTAAAATGGTAAACGGTGAGTGAAGGATATTATCCTGTGAACAGCGTTGTTTCACCCAATGGCCACTGAGTGGAAGTCAGCTCCTAACTGGCCTTCTAGTGAGTTTCCCAGGTTATGAACCGCACAAGAAAAGGCAGACCTACTTCCTCCCAAGGAGTCGCTGACGGTTTGAAACTGCCAGAGAGCCTCTACCTGCAGAGAGCGGCACAACTCCCTATCCACTTGGCCACTGGAGCGCAGGCCAAGGCCAAGTTCCTGGTTTTAATATTGTAATCCAGTTATGGAAATTGTCACCATTGGGGAAACCTGGAAAAATAGTCTGCACAGCTCAATACACTATTTCTGCAACTTCCTGTTCCTCTGTAACTATTTAAGAACAAAATATTTTTAAGGCAATAAGAGAAAAAGAAAACATGGAAAAGATTTTACAAATGAAAAACAAATCCAAAGTAAAAGGCTAAAAACTACCCCAAAAGTCTCCCCTCACTTGAGGGACTTGGTTTAGAAATATTGGGAGAGAGGGACACCCCTTTATTTCTGAGTTGCTAAGAGGCTTTGATGACGATGGGCAGAGCTGCCTGACATGACAGATAAGGCGGTGAGATGTAGAGGGAGATCAAGGCCTCTATTTGAGTGCCTGGATCTAACCGTGTCTGAGTCAGTGCTTTCAATTATACAAACCACACATGTTTACGTTTAAGACCATTTGAGCCAAGTTTCTGTGTCACTTACTACTGAAATAGTCCTGCACCATTTCGAGCTCTGGTTCCCTTGTGTAAACCTTGTTAGCAAGGTTTGGAGAGGAAGCTGTCTAACCTGCTGCCTTCCTGGGGGTAGGAGGGAGATGCAGGGAGGGATGGGGGTCACGTACCTCAGGACCAGGTAGAAGACAAGAGTAAAGGCCAGGAAGAACATGGAAGTTCCGCAGCCCGCCTGGGAAATGAGCGTGAGTGCCTTCACGGTGGCCTTGTCCAGGGTCGGCCTCTGTAGGTGACCCACCCAAGTAGGTGACCCTCTCAGCAGAGGCCAGATCCATGTCCCACCTAGGCCCTGGCTCTGCCAGGAGTCCCCCCTCCCCAGGAAGAGCCTCCACGAGGATGGCTTTTACCAGCAGCAGGGCGAAGAAGGTCAGGTGGTCACAGTGGCACACAGTCATTCGAGGTGCGCGCTCCGTGGAACAGCCCTTGGACGCCCAGTCACCTGTCGGCCCTGGGAGGGGAGGTACCAGGAAGGAGAAGTGGGGGAAAAGAGAGAGGGGAAGGCCCCTGAGAATGAAACCCACCCCTTATCCCCCAAGAGACCCAACCCCTCCCCTCTGTTTCACCCCAAGATCTTCCAGGCCCTACCTTTAGTCACATCCCAGAATACACAGCTGAGGGTCATATTCTGAAACCAGAAGGTGGGAGTCAGGGGGGGAAGTAGGAAAGTGGGGGTGCTCAGGTGTCAAATGTCTCAGCACGTGTGCCCCGGGCGGAAAGCTAAGCTCCCTCCCGGAAACAGTGGCATCTCGCCTGGATCAAGTGTGTGAGGTGTGTGTTAAATGTGACCAGGGTGCAAGGGGGCTGTGTGCACATGACTTCAGGGGTGCCTGAAACAGGCAGATGTGACCTCATGTGCATGAATGCGGATCTGGCAGGTCCTGTGTGCACCTCTGAGCAGGAGACGGGTGGTGTGTGAGAGTTCACATACGAGTCTGCACAGGGCAGGCGTGCGTCTCTGGCCCTAATGCACATGTGTAAGGGAAGGAGGTATGAAGTTCTGTGCACGTCTGCTCCAGGGCTCCGTGCCCAGGTGTGTCCCCCAGCCGTCTGCCCTGCCGTGATGTCCAGGTCCGGGTGGGGCCGCTCACCGGGAGGAAGTCCTGGTGGGAGAAGGTTATCTCCACTGGCTCCTCCAGCCCCGTGATGGGTGTGCTGCCCACGCTCAGGCCCACCATACGACTGTTGAGGACACTGCTGCCGTCTTCCAGGCTGAGCCGGGGGCCCTGTGGAGGGAGGCGACAGAGGATGGGGCTGCAGAAGGCATGTCCCACCCCTAATTCTGCACAAGGGTCCCTGGGATCCGTGAGGACTTTGCCTGGAGGATGAAACCCTTGCTTTGTGATCAGTTTGGCCACAGAGCCATGCCTGCCACAGCTCACAGGTACAGGCCTCCAGGGCTCCTCTGTCCCCCCTTAACCAGAGGACACAGGGTCCCCAGAAAGGCCAGCCTAGAACTGGAGGACAGTGGTGCTTCAGGGAAGTGGGGTCTGCCCACATGAGCACTGAGGTGTCCAAGCGTGGGGTGAGGTAGATGCACATACCCAACAGACATGTTTTCAAGGTCATGGGTACACTTGTGAACAAAGCCACACGCAAGCACACATGATTAGTGCACAGGGATGTGAAAGGAGCTGAGTGTTTGTACATGGACACATGAACACACTGGAGTCCTCTGGGGTGTGGGGTGCCCGCCCTCTGAGGGAATGACTGCAGAGACATGGCCGTGTGGCCTCTGTGGGACCATTCTCAAGGCTCAGGCCCCATCCCCTCCATACCCATCTGGTCTCTCGACAAAGATGCTGGTGAGGGCGAGCTGGGCCTGGGACCCAAGTGAGCCAGCCTGACCTTTAACCACAGAGCTATCCTGAGCCCCATTCCAGTTTTTCCTCACCTTGAAGAGGTTCCCTGATCTGATGTCCAGAGTAGTTACGGCCAACCGTACTGAGGGCCTCTTGCTCCGAAGGGACTCGAAGAAACTTCTGGGGAGCCGGACTCTGTCAGGAGGCCTGCTCTCATTCGCCATCACCTGCCTGGGAATCTGTAACCACAACCTCACCAGTGCCAAGCTTTACCCAAGGATCCAGGCCCCTAACACAGGCCCACAGCCTCGTGGAGAGGCAACACCTACAGACATCAGCTCTGAGAGGTGGGACATCCCGCTCACAGTCCCAGCTCTGCCCCCCACCAGGCTGAGGGACGCTGGACAGCTCATGTCACTTGGGTTCGTTTTATAGGGAACAGAGGGGACACTGCCTGCCTGGCCGGCCACACATCAGACTGAACATCGGCTGTGAACTAATGAGACTCAGGGAAGCCCCTGAATTTCTTCAACTGGTTTGCAAATGTGAGGGAGGCCAGGCTGGCTGAGATGTGCTTTTGACCAGCATACTCACAGCCTGGGGGGGGGGGGCCTAAATTGGACTTAATAATTATGGTTTCTGGCTTCAGAATAGGGAATAATGAACGAATAAAGCCATCAAGAAAGGGGTGGCTAGGGAGCTCTGGTGGCCTAGTGGCAAGAAGCTGCACTGCAATCCCAGAGGTACGCCGTTCGAGTCTACCAGATGTTCTTCTGCTGGAGAAGGAGGGACCATCTCCTCCTGTACCGGTCAGATCTGATTTGATGGTACACACACACAAAAAAAATAATTGGTTTTTTTTCTTAAAAAAAAGAAAGGGGTGGCTGTCTAGGAGCTTAGAAAGGAAGGTGGCAGGGTCAGAAACTGGAACACACGAGAATCCACACCAATGCACTCCCACCAATGACAAATGAACAGAAATGAAAATATCAAAGCATTAAGATCAATTTCACTGGAGAATACAAAACGAGAATGGCGTGTGTTCTTCCTGGGCCTGCAGGCTGATCCCACCTGGCCCTTGCCTTAAAAGGAAGTTCTGTGGACATTAGACCAGGGAGTAGGGAGACGGGGTGGAGGGCCCAACATTCTCCTTCAGGCCCAGACCCCGCGTCGCAGGGACCTGTATGTGATTCACGTGATTGGTGCCTGCCCCACGACAGTCACTCGGCCACTTGGGTTGAGAAACACCTTAGCTATCTTCTATCTCCACTGCCCCAAACAAACCTTGATATTAACCAACTTTCTTAAGGGGCACTGAAGATCATCAATGAGTCGAACAGAAAAGTTCAGTCATTTGTAGCTAGTAAGGGGCACAGTCAGGATCTGACTGCAGACCAATGTAAATCAGATTCTGTCGCTTTAACTGTGTTGGTGGATTACCAAATATGCCCTTCATCTGGTTTCAACTGTATCGTCTGGGTCGAAGAGTTCATGGGAATGTTAAGTTTTGAAGAAGGTTCAGTATTCATTTTTTAGACAAGGACTCTATGGACTTTAGAGAGCAGAAGAGAATTCCTGAAGGGCCCCCTGGGGAATTGGTGGGGAGTCCAGTGCCAGCATCCAGGTCTGTTAACACTCAGTCCTGTGCTCTGCCAAACATCTCTCACTAGCCTCTTGGATAACCTGTTACTAGCGTTCACTTATCCAATGAACTTGTTAGCAAGGAGACAGAGCTGGCAAAACGAGACCCAGAAGAGGTAAGTTTTGACGGGCACCATGCACAGGTCATGTCTCTCTGCCACCAGGTCTCAGAGTTCTGAACAGTACGGCAGAAAGCAACAGAGCCCGCGGCCGCCAACGGGGACGGGAGGGGTCTTCACCTGGGAGGGAGTCAGGGAAAAGTGCAGGTCCTCCGAAACGTCCGTGCTCACGTTCTGGATCAGAGTCTTCACAAAAGACATATTCACCATGTCCACGGAACTGCTCTCCACCAGGTGGGTCTCGTAGTTGAGCCAGTATCTGCAAGGGGTCAAGGATTAAGGAAGAGTGTAGGTTCTTGCATGTGGAGTCACCAACTTATCTGATCCCCAACCTGGACGACAGGAGGGACACCAGGGGGAGCAATCAAAAGGTTCTTTGGTGCAAGGAGTGACCAAGATGACAAAAGAGCGGACCTTGGGATTATTCTGGGAGGAAGGGAAAGAGGCTTGGAATCGCTGCAGGCTGGCTCTGGGGTATACCAGGTGGTCATCTCTAGAAGCACTTTCAAATGTCGATGACGACTGTGAAGCAAGGCTGAGCAAGTAGCATGTTTATTCGGTGCTAACAGAATACTGTGAACTTTGCTTTAAACACTAAGTATGCCTTCTCGTGGCCTCTGAGAACTAAGCATGCCTGACAGTGGAACTGGTTAGGGAACCATACAGAACACGTAACTGGCATTTGTTTAATTCCTGTCTCACAGCCATTACTCTTACATGTTATCAAATCTATCTTGACTCATAACAGCCCCATAAGACAGTATAGAGCAGTTCATAAAGTTTTTTGGACTGTAATCTCTATGGGAGACACCCAAGTGTTGAGGACTCTCCTTCATAGGGTTGCTATGAGTCGCCTGCGACTCGACGATACTTAACAACAATAACATCAACATAGAGAGAGAGATCAGTTGGCCCAGTGGACAGAAAGCGATGCTACCTAGCCAAAGGAGGGTGACTTTTAATCTGTGGCCCTCAGGCCTGTCTTTCATTGTTTTTGTTCAGACATGCCTCCAGGTCGTATAGCTCTGGTGTACAAGTTGCCGTCCCGCGGTCACTTGTGGTTGCTGTGAGGCTGAACACTGCGACACGGATGTGTCAAATGCATTAATGGTTGGTTTCCCAATGCGGACAGAGAGAAGGGTGGAGCTCCCCGATTAAAACCAGCTTGGCAGGAAGAGTGGCATCCACTTCCATAAGAGCTTGCTTCCAGAAACCCTATGAACCTGGAGAGAGGATGAGAGACACCCAAGTGTTGAGGACTCTCCTTCAGAGGGTCGCTATGAGTCGCCTGCAACTCAATGGCACTTAACAACAACAACAACAATCTCTATGGGAGATGGCTAGGTCCTTCTCTCCTGGAGCAGATGGTGGGTTCAAACCAACAACCATTTGATTAGCAACCGAGCTCTTAACCATTGCACTGAGCTCATTAGTGAAAATGTTGGGGTGGGGGTGGGTTGGTGAGGGAAGGAGGCAAGTTCGCGGGTGCTCTCCATGGTTCTGAAGCATCCCTGCACTCCAGGACTCCCTTCCCTTTTCTTTCACCCAGGATCCTTAGCACTAATGCATGACCTCCCTCCACAACTCTGAAAGTGTGAGGCCCAAGGCAGTGGTGGGAAAAGAGAGGCAGCGCAGATACAACCAGATCAAGACTATTACAAAGGAATACTACAGATCCCTTGGTACCAGCAGTCAGGAAATCAGGAGGCGTATTGCACTGGGAAGGTCTGCAGTCAGGGACCTCTCCAAATTATTGAGGAATAAAGATGTCAGTTTGAGGACTAAGGTGTGTCTGATTCAGGCCATGGTCTTTCTGATCACTTGCTATGTATCTGAGAGCTGGATAATGAATAAGGATGATGGAAGAGTTGATGTCTTTGAGCTGTGGTATTGGAGAAAAGTACCAAAGATCCCATATGTGGCCAAAAGGACAAGCAAATATGTCTTGGAGAGGGTTCAGCCAGAGTGCTCTTAATCAAAGATAATAAAACTTCACCCCACATACTTCGGGCATGTTGCTTTGAGGAGCTGTTCCTTGGCGAGGCACATGATTCTTGGAAAGGAGAGGAAGACCCTCAACCAGGTGTACTGACACAGTGACTGCTACAATGGGCTCTAGTGTGTCAGGATGTGTGATGATGGTGCAGGACAGGACAGGATTCAGATCTGTTATTTATTGGGTTGATATGGGTCGTACTTGACTCAACGACACCTAACAACAATACAACAGCCGGGAAGCCCGGGGAGCCTTCATTTGTACAACGTTGTCAGAAAGTCATAGTTACTCAGGGGGTGGGGGTGGGGAGATCAAAGAGATCACAGGAAAAAAATATTATGATGGAAAAAGGAAGTCAAATGTGCTTGGTTGGAAAAGACAGTAAGGACATTACCTAGCCAGAGAGAGTGAGGTCAAACCACCCAAAGTCAGCAATTGAATGATGCGAAATGGAATCAGCTGAACGATGCCTAGCTTTGATTGGCCTTTTCAAAACCAAGACAAAGAACTGTTCTCATTTTCTTAGTTACCAAATAAAACTCTGAATTGTGAACACAGTTTACGGTTTCATTTGGTATCTTAGAAAATGATGATTTTTTGTCAACTGTTTCTTATGCATCTGAGAGTTGGACAATGAATAATGGTTGAAAAAGAGCCTGTCTTTGCGGTGTTGGACAAGAGTGCTGAACATCCCACGGACTGTCAAAAGAACAAACAAACCTATGTTGGAGGAAGTGCAACCAGGGTGGACCCCAGAGGCAAGGATGGTGTGGCTATGCACAAGGTCCAGCATCACAGGAACCCCAGGTTACGTCAGAACAGCAAATTGACCAAAAAGTGCTGTACAACTTAGAAGAATGTTCCTTTAAAACAAAATAACACTAGGCCCTCGGGCCCAACTGACTTTTAAATACAAGGGCCGTGTGTGTGTGTGTGTGTGTGTGTGTGTGTGTGTGTGTGTGTGTGTGTGTGTACACAAAAGAAAAAAGGCCTGAAGCCTTTCTATAACTATAGTTGTTTTTCCTAGTTCGTAGAGTTTCCAGAGGCATGTGCTTTAGGAAGTAGATGCCACTCCTGCTCCCAAACCTGAATCAATCTGGAGCTCCACTGAACACTGCCCACGATGGGTAACCATTATGGTGTGTGACACACCCACAGAACAGTTGTCAGCATCACAGCAATTCCAAGTTACTTCAGTACAGCACATAGACAGACCACTGCTATACCACTTAAAAGAATGTTCAACTTCTGTTATAGCCTATGTACTTAAAAAATAGTTCCTTGACTTCACAAAGAGACGCATGATTCACTTTCTAAAAGGAAGATTTTCTGATCTGGCTGTCAGAACACTTTAAATCAGACTTGAGAAATAACACATATTCAAAAATTTTCTAAAATGTAGGTGCACAGTTGAATTTATAATTACATAGTGGATGTCTGTTTAAGCATCTCTTCTTTGATATTAATAGTTACTCGGGTTTCTTTAGTTAATATTTGCACAGCATATGTCTCTTTGCACGTTGTGTTTGTTTTTCACGTGAGAGGTGTGAGGTTCAACAATTTGTTTTCGGCTAGGAAAGGAGAATTTCCTCTTCCGCATGCCGCATTCCTTTACTGAACTGCTGGATGCAGGAGATCTGGAGTTCGCCTCTTACCCTTTAGCTAACATTTATCTCACTAAAGCATTTTAAAGCTCCATTAACAGGGAGCTCTGGTGGCCTAATGGCAAGAAGCTGCACTGCAATCCCAGAGGTATGCTGTTCGAATCCACCAGATGCTTTGCTGGAGAAAGAGGGGTGGTCTCCTCCTATACCAGTTAGATCTAATTTGACGATACACACGCACAAAATAATAAAATAAACACACCCACCCA